TGTTTTAGCCTTCAAACACTAAGAATTCAAATAAAAAATACAAATCTGAAATTCTAAACGGCAAGTAAATTTTGTGTGTGTGGTTTGGGACTCAGCAGGCACTGCCCAAGAACTACAATTAGCTGGAAGCTCCAGGAGGAACTTTGAGAACATGTGATGCAGAGATCAAATCCAGACTTCCCACATTCAGAGCTTGTTCTATAACCCTTGTAACCAGCAACCACACAAATTCTCCTTTTAGACACCAGTGGAGGTCTCAGAGAACAATTAAGCTTTTTAGAAGTTAATCTATAATAATCTAAATGGTTGTACCAAAACATCTAATGATACCTAATGAGTGTTACTAACATTGTGAATTTTAGAGGCTTTGGTGCATAAAATATATAAAGATATAACAAAAAAAGAGGTCAGGAGGAGAATACAACCGAGAATTGTGTTAGAAATATAAAAAATAGTAAAGAGTTTAGGTAATAAATAATGGAAATGATGTACATCTCGGTATAGATGATAAAGGTATATGAAATTTATTTGTTTTGAAAACAAAAAATGACTTTTGTTATATATATTTTATTTAATTGTATATAAAGTTAGAAAGTATGTTATTTAGATGGCTAACATATCTGATACATAGATGCATTATCTTTTTGAACTCTATGTAGAAACATAAATAATGCAATTATATTAAGTATATCAGAAGACAATAAAGGTCATCTCCTCTGACTAGATAAAAATGTTAAAAGCAATCATTCAAACAAAAAAGAACTAATAAAACCAAATTTTTACATCTATTTGTCTCATAAAAGTGACCCCAGAAGTAAAAAGAGAAGAAATTTATAAAGTTAAAATGTGAAATTTATAAAGTTATATAGTTAAAATTCAAATTTCAGGTAGACCACGAGTTAAGCCAGAGAAAATGTCTTTTCTCACAGCCAAGGCAAATTGTAGCTGAGTTCACTAGTAAATTTTGTCAGTAATAGAAAAAGAGTGAACGGAAGTAAGATAAAAAAAAAACATTTATTTGGACTGGCAAAATAATGGAAAGACCTTATGCCCATGCCATGAAAGCATGGGACATCAATTTTGTCTCCAAAATTGCATATCTTCCCCAAGCATCACTTGGTATGGCCTTGGTAGCTCCAACCACCAATGAGGCCAAGAAACATTCTGTACATAGGCCCAAGCATTGGTTGTACTGGCCTGGTTGGTTATCTCACAAATGGCTCTCAAGCCACTCTACCATTAGAGTCTACCCGCAAATAAAAAGCAACAAACTTCAAATTAAATAAAAATTTTGAAAATGCAGCTCTGTGGACATAATGTAGATTTTGCTCATATTTTAAAAATTATCCCATGATCCTAATTTTGTTTACTTTTCAAAGGAAATAAATTTAGTGTTTTAGAGAAATAAATGATCATGAATTTTTGCAATGGAAGAGTTAGGAAAAATGCTACAAATTATGGAAAGATTTCTACAGTGATAAATTGGAATGACAGAATTAGAGCAGTCTTGCAAGCCATTTTTTGTTTTATGATTTTTAATGAGTTTTTCAATATAAATTTTAATGAGTTTTTCAATGTGTGTATGCATATAATCACTAAGCCCAGTATGTAAATATATGTATACGTATACAAATATATGTATACATGTATGTGTATATACATGTATATGCATACATATGAATACCCATTATTTACTACCCCTTATATATAATATATAATTATATATATAATGGGAGTATATATACACAGATATACATATATACATAGTAGCAAATTTATTGCTGCCAATCAGGAGATAATCAGGTCTCAGAGTGTTTTGAGAAGCTCCACCTATTTACATATACATAACTTGCCTGGAAAGAAAGAGAGCTTTCTCTTGAATTACTGACTTATGTCATTTCATCTCTAACAGCTTATAAGTAAAAGTATTCTAATTTCAAAGATGAGGCATTTGAGTTGTTGTATCTCCTCATATCTGGAGACTGGTAATTGCAGATTGGGTTTTAAACTCAAATCTGCATGACTCCCTCATTGTATCTCATCTGAAGTCAAAGAGATACATATCAAATTTGTTTCACATAAAGCTGGCAGACTACATGAAAACACTGAATGTCAAAATCAATACTTAAAAGTTTGGCATCCTACATCAGAAGAAACACAATGATATTCCCTTCATCTTGTTTGAAAAGAAACCTTTAGAAATCAATCCAACATGTACAGAATGGCAAATCATATTCTACCAATAAACATATAGGAAACATCATAGTCTCTGTGTTAAGTCTATTAGTCAGTTACAGGTGATAAATTTAAGTGCAATCTTAAGACTTTACTAAGATTACTTACTTAAGACTTTACGTTAGCTATATTGACAAGCGAAAAGAAGTAATTACACTCTTCTCTACAATTCTCTACACTCTTCTCTACCTTTAACTCTACAATCACATTGATCAAAAAACATTGATGCTGGTGTTTTTGAAACTTTTAACCTGAATGCCTTATGCCAAAGAAGATGTTGGCGAATATAATTATAAAATTTGCAAATATTGGGTGAATTATGTCATGTGGATACAAAAGAATAGATTTTAAAAATACTATGTACCTTGTATTATTATTGATATGTATTTGTTTTATTTATGAATCATTATTTCATAGCATACTTTTACTATGATAATTCTATAAAAATTTCCTTAAGAAACTGTCTTAGCGATATATTGATTATCCATGTTTCAGAACTGTGATTACATGAAAGAAATTTCTAAATGATATATTATAATATATCTCCAAAGTATCAATTTTATAAATTTCCCAAGGTTCTAGTTTTCTGATAAGAAAGCAAAATGCTGGCCATTAACACCTTTTACTTTTTTATAATCACACTTGTTTCCAAAACATGTAATTATGAAAAACTTGCATTTTTTTCAGATTTGATTGTGGTTTGATGCTTTACTTTGATGTGGACAAATATTTTAAAGCTTTGTAGGAGAAACTATTAATGGAAGCAAGATTTTTTAGTCAGTTTAAATAATTTAAGTCAAAACATTACCTAAGGTCCATACTGTATTTTGTGGTTGAAATTTATTTTTATCACCCTATCTTCAAAGCAATCAAAAACCTCAACTATTCAACTCATATTATGATTTGTTTTACAATGTAACTAAGAGAATCAGGTACATTTTTCATCCTCATTTTGAAGAATGAGATTGCATAATTTTCACTAACACTGAATAAATGAAACCTATGACTGACTTTTCATTGTTCGCTCATAAGATCAATAGAACATTATTCAAAAATAATACATAAAATGCAATAGTTAAACATGTTTTGAAAGAATATGTGATTTTTCTCTACAAGTAAATTAAATATGTATAATACAAAATTTAATTATGCAAAGAAAATTGGTCATATATTTTTGAATGTAAAATATTAATTTTTCTTTCTGAATTCTAATGATTCTTTCTTCATTAAAATATATTTTTAGAAAGCTGACTAATCGTCAAACTAAAAAAAAAATAAGTTGACATTTTTAAGTAAATAATCAGCTCATTCATACCCTATTTCAGTAACCAAGTGATCCAATTTAAGATAAAATGTGATCTCTTGCATCATAGTTGCATTCATAATTCCTTAAAAAAATGTAATTTCATGGGTAATCTCACACAAGAAGAAAAATGTAATAGTTTACAACTTCATTTATGGAGTCTGTCTTAATGATATGTTGTTGTCTACCTTTTATCACTGAAAATACAAAAAGATTATAATTAGTAATTTATGAGATATCTATAATAAAAAAGTTATATATTATATAAAAGTTATATCTTATTATGACATCTTATTATCTCATTCCTACTTTGGACAAACTGGCAGGCTACCGAATGTAGCCTGCCCACATGGCAGAGTCTGGCAAACTCCCCGTGGCGTACCCAATATGCCAAATACCAGTAACAATGATGGGTCTCATTCTCCTAAAGAGCCTGAATATAATCTCAGGGCTAGGATGAAGGAGACGTTACTGGGGCCTGCTCTAGGCAATCGACAAATAACAGGATGATTTGTGATTTTTTGTTTGTGAGATATCTGTAAGTTAAATATAGAATTATTGTTAAGAAATAAGAAATGTGAGATCAGAAAATATTTAAGTAACTATAAAATAGTTTCCAAATTGAGACAAATATACAAATTCAGTGGTAGTGTTATTGATAATTTCTTATGACTTTAAGGTTTAGATGGGTCACAGAACATTAATATTTATAATTTTTATGTAATACTATAGCAACAGAAACAAAGGATATTTGCTATTGATATTGTACTGATATAAGAAAATAATTTTCAGTGTAAGTTTGGGTTTCTAGTATGGTTGATTTTTATAAATTTAACAAAGTATTTTAAAAGTTTATTGGACAGTATCAGACCAGTGAGTCCTAATTAGTTTATTTCATTGTGCAAAAGTTGGAGGGATTCCTTCACCCTCTTCAGTATCACAAGTCTAGTCTTTAGACACATATGTGTTCACTTATATAAACACATATTCCTAGCAGGAATAGTCTCCATCTTCATATTAACACCTTCTTCTTTGCTGTTCATTAAAAGTAGAAAGGATGAAGAAAAGTATAGTTTTAAAAAGTCAATAACTTTAGGATATAGTAAGGTGGCCTAATTGCTTTAATTGACACAGGTGTCCAGTCACAATGATCTGGTCATATAAAATTTTAGTCATTTGCATATTATTTTGTTGCCTGTTCTTCAAGAGAACTAGTTGTGACACTCTAAGATTATTTCACAGAATAATAGTATAATTGTGGAATAATGATCTTCACTGTTTAAAGGTAGTTTAACTTATTAACTGAGACTCCTAAAGAGTAAACAGAAAACATCATATATGAGGAATGGTTTCTGAACAATGAAAAGACATATCTAGAATATAAAAAATATGGCATGTTATTTTGTCTCTGCTTTGAACCAAATCCAGATGTAGAAAAATCAATTAAGTTTATATATTTTTACCCTTAGATGATATACATTTAAAACCTAAAAATGTATATGATAAATCACAACAAGTTCAGTCACACAAATTTTAATAAAAACATATAAAATCAATTAAAAATTTTCATATACTGAAAATGTTTCTAAGAATGAACTAATTATAGGAATTCTTCCATTTTTCCCCATTATGCATTGGTACCCAATATAATCTGAAAATATTGAGCATAACTAATTCTTTATTTTTTAAAATGGAACCTAGAAAATTAATGCTTCTCACAGAAAGTTTGTTAACAATAGGTGTTCAATTAAATGTTTTCATACAAAGAAAAACTTTCCTTTATGTATAAATAAACAAGGGAGAGGTACTTTTAAATACTTTTTTTCTTTTCATTGCCCACACCTACATACAAGTCTTTAGCAATACAGCACTTCCATGAGGAAGTATTAATTTTGGATGTACAGAAGTTTATGGAAACATAAGTTAATAAGAAAAACACAGATTATCATCATATCCAACTGCATATTCACACTGATGCTTAATAAAAGCTTATTACATAATGAATTATCCATTCTTGAGAAAATATATACAAATAGGCAACTATTTTAAAGACTCATTATCCAATAAAGTGAATGTTCTCATTTTCTGCCTTAATGCAACACTTTTGATATTCAATATAAAATTGTGAACTAATAAATTATATGAAAAATATAAATGACATTAGTATAAACTATTGGTAATAATAAACTGATGAATTAAAATAAATACAAATGTTAATTAGAGTAAAATTATGTTGACTGAGTAAATCAAGTGCCCAGATGACTGAGTTTCTTTGAAATATCCATCTATTGTTTTATCTCAAAGGGCAAAGGTAGCCAAACAGGAAGTTACCAAGAAAAGGGAACAAGACGTCCATCAGTTACTCAACATAGTGATTAAGTTGGCTAAGTAGTCCAAATGCTAATACTCCTGATAATCAGCCATTCCTTTTGTGTTTTGGTAACATATATCCTAATACATTGTATGTCAAATGGAACTTTCTGATTTACATCTGATAACTCAAAGTTTCCATTTTTGAACTCTCCTAGTCTTATGTAATTAATACATTGTCTACTTTGTTTCAAAGACAAACTACTTTCCCCAACATCTAGGGCTCCATGATGTAAAATGTCATTTTGTCGATCTTCTGTTCCAGTAATTACTTTAAGTTTTTTAATTATAATTGGATTTTCAAATGCTATCACAAAGACATCTCCTGTTAAAGGTGATTTTCCCCAAAAGTATTCATCAACAGTACTATAAGCTTTGCTTGCTTCATAATTTTCAAAGACATTGATGTTAGTATAAAAACTTGCAGGTGGGTTATCAGGGATGTCAAATGACTCATCCTCAAAATCATCATCTTTCAACTTATTCTCAGTCCCTTTATATGAGGAATAATAACCCATATGCTGAAAAAGAGATGGTTTAAAGCGGATTACATTTTTCTGAGCCAGGAGTCCTCGGAAATGTGTCAATAGCCAATCACAAGGCATTTCTTGATAAAACATTAATAAAAAATGTGCCAAGCGTGGGAGATCACGGGAATGATAAAGTTTTCCAATGTAACCAAGTTTAGAGAATTCAAGAGTTACCCAGTAAGTTCCTTCAAGCGATGTAATTACTTTCTTGATAGCAGTTAAGAAATTTTTTGAACATCGAACATCATCTTCAAGCATTACATAATAATCCGAAGTATTGGCACAAAAATTAAGCAGAAAGGCATAATCTACATTTTGCTTGGAACGAAATCTGACTCTATCTTCAGGATCATTGTAGTTTCTTTTAAGGCCATCCAAGATTGGATAATATTCCTCTGGAGCATGTATAACCATTAATCTTCCTGCAATAATATGGTGAGCAAATTTTTGTGTAATATCCTGCACCATGACCTCACGCCAGGATGAATTAAAATCTGCTAGATGAACCACCACTGAAATTTCTTTTAGTTCTTCATAGCTGGATTGTTCAAAAATAGATTTGATTGTTTCAAGTAAATAGTTTCCTTTCTTTCGTTTCACTGATGAAAGTCCAATTGTAAGAAATCCTGGTAAGAGAATTCAGAGGACAAAGAAAAGTGAATAAGTGTTGAAAAATATGAAAAAGGATAAATTACTTTCCTCTTGACCAATCGTTTATTGTACTATGTTAAATATTAAAAATTTAATATTAAAATGTTAAATATTAAACTTTATGCATAATTTCTACTCTTATAGAATGGGCATTTTGTATCTTAAACACAATGGGATAAAATACTGCTCTCAATATTTTATTTACCGGAAATATGATAGATCATTTAAAGTATTAGGAATCTTAATATTTTCATATATGACCACTTGAGATTACAGATGTTTAAAACCCGTCATTGAAAACAAAAACCCTGATATAGACAACGAGATAAGCTTATTTAACTGAATCAGTAATGAAAAGGGGAAACATCAGATAGCACAGAACATACTTCCTCTGGTCAAGAAAATAAAAATCGGTAATTAAAAGTTTCCCTCCAAACAAAGCTCAGGCCCAGATGGATTCAGTAGTGACTTCCTTCAAACCTTTAAAGACCCTGCCAATCCTTTTCAGGCTTTTTTTTTCCAGAAAATTAGAGAACCAGAAATAAAACAAAAGTTTCTATGAAGTGCACATTACCCTGAAACCAAAAGCAGTCAGAGACAGCACAAAAAAGTTAAATTACAGACAAATATCCCTGATAAATATTGATTCAAATATTCTCAACAAAATAGTAGTGAATACAAGTGGGATTTTATACCTAGGATGCAGGAATGGTTTACCATATGTAAATTTATCAGCATCGATGCACTATATTGGTACAGGAATAAATAAATTCGATGTGATCATATCAGGCTGGAGTGATAGCACAGTGGATAGGGTGCTTGCCTAGCGGCGGACCTGGGTTCGATTCCTTTGTCACTCTTAGAGAGCCTGGCAAGCTACCGAGAGTATCCCACCCACACAGCAGAGCCTGTCAAGCTCCTCATGGTGTATTCTACATGCCAAAAATAGTAACAATAAGTCTCACAATGGAGATGTTACTGGCGCCCACTCGTGCAAATCTATGAACAACAGATGGACAGTGCTACAGAACAATGTTACAGTGCTATGATCATATCAATAGATTCAGAGAAAGTATTCAACAAGATCCAGCGCTGATTCATGATAAAAAAAAAAGATCTCAATGCTATGGGAATTGAGAGAACATTTCTCAACATATTTAAAAGTCATTTTCTATAAGCACACAGCAAATATTATATTCAATAGGGATAAAAGTAAAAGCCTTCCTCCTAAGATCAGGCATAAGACAATGTTTCCCACTCTCACCACATCTATTCAGTATAGTGTTGGAATTACTGGCCATCACAATTAGGCAAGATAAAGATATCAAGTGAAACCAGATAGGAAAGGAAGAAGCATCCTTTGCAGGATACTTTATTTACAGCACCATAAGGACTTTTAAAGGAAGCTCCTACTAACAATGGATTTGTATAGTAAAGTGGAAGGCTACATAATTAAAACATAAGTTCATGATTTTCTATATGCAAATAATGAAATAGAAGAGAGATCTTTTTAAAAAATTCTATAAAAATTTGTGGCTCAGTAAATCATGTGCCAATGAATCGGCTTAACTAAAGAGGTGAAAATAAAGCCACAAAATAGTTCAGCCCTTTTGGAAAACAGTATGAACGATTCTCAAAAAATTAGAACTTGAGCTCCCATTTGACCCAGCAATACCACTCCTGGTAATATATCCCAGAGAGACAAAAAAAAGTATAGTCGAAGTGATATCTGCACTTGTTTGTTCATTGCAGCACTCTCTACAATAGCCAGAATCTGGAAAAAACCTGAGTGCCCGAGAACAGACGACTGGTTAAAGAAATTTTGGTACATTTACACAATGGAATACTATGTAGTTTTTAGAAAAGATGAAGTCATAAAATTTACATACAAGTGGTACTACATGGAAAGTATCATGCAAAGTGAAATGAGTGAGAAAGAGGGATAGAAAGATTGTATTCATCTGGGGAACATAAAGTAACAAAATTGGAGATTAAAGCCCAAGAGTAGCCAAGATAAGTACCAGGAGGTTCACTCCATGGCTTGGAGGCCAGCCACACATGCTTGGGGGGGGAGGGGAAGGCAGCTCAGATAGAGAGGGGGGTAAGGCAGCTCAGATAGAGAGGGGAGCACCAAGTAAAGGGTGTTGGGAAGATCCTCCCAGGATGGGAGAAGCATGCTGAAAGTAGACGATAGACCAAATATGATTGTCACCATTGCCTCTTTTGCAAACCACAACACCCAAAAGTAGAGAAAGAAACAAAAGGGAATGCCCTGCCACAGGGGTGGGGTGGGATGGGGGGAAGTGGGAGGGTGGGTGGGATGCTGGGAGCATTGGAGGGATGGGCACTGGTGGAGGGATGGGTATTCAATCATTGTATAACTGAAACCCAAGCACAAAATTTGTAAGTCTACAACTGTAATTCATGGTGTTTCACTAATAAAAATTTAAAAAAAATAAATGTCCATGCATATAACATAACATTTATTGAATAATACAGGCTCCTGGTACCATTAAACTTAAACCATTTAAGACTCAATAATGGGCAATAATTACATATTTTTTATATAAAAAAGCAGCGCTTTTTTATTCATGTTTTGTTAAGTAATGTTTTCTCATTACTGCTTTAAAAATGAGAAAGCTGTCACAGCAATCAGGAAATGCGTATTTTAGCAAGCAGTAGTGTGGTGCCAAAATACAAACTACTCTTTGTATTTTACTGGTTTTTTTTTGTTACAGTACAATATAAAACATACAGCATATATTCTAATGCAAATCAGTAAATAAAATGGAAAAGGAACTGATCTTTGCTCAGGAATTATACCTAACAGTAACCAGAGAACCTCTGGAGCTGCCCGGGAAGAATTTAATCAGGAACAGTCAAAGACAAGCATTTTATTTAGCTCCTCTACTATCTCTCTGACTCTGCTTTAACATTCCTAATGAATGATTTAATTGTACATAGCTTCAACACAAATCGTTTAGAATATTACCAAAATTGATTCTAACATTCATATATTTTACATTTAAGCGTTTGTATAATATCAGAATGTGCACTGCAATCTTAGAATTAAAATTTATAATACCAGTAACTTCTTAATGGTACATTAACTGCAGCATAATATGTTCTGTAACCTGTGGTATCAAAATACATGAAACATAGTATGTGATTTTATGTGTACAAACTGCCTGCAGAGTGCTGAATACACTGAATAGTTTCTTGCAAAACTTGTGTATACCTGAAAACACAAAACATGACATTATTTGGAAATGGAATTTTCTGGTGCAATTAAAGATTGAGAGATGAACTCTGAGTTTTGCTGGACCCTAAGTCAATAAATGCTGCCCTTTTACAAAAAGAAGACACAGAAATGTGGAGAAGCAGTGGTAAGGATATGTGCAGATGGAGGCAGGCCTTGTACTTCAAGGAACAACTGAAGCAACCAGATTGGAAGAGGCAATGAAGAATTCTGTGGAACTTTTCAATTTTAGAACAAACTTTAGAGAACAAATTTTAGTTGTTTCTAGACACCTATGCTTTAGTAATTTGTTATTATACCTAATAGAATTAATATAATAACTATGGTAAAGGTAAAGGTAAAGGCCCTCCCATTGATCGTTGATTTGCTCGAGCGGGCCCAGTAACGTCTCCACTGGAGACTTTGTTGTTACTGTGTCTGGCATATCGAATACTCTCGGTAGCTTGCCGGGCTCTCCGACAGGGGCGGAGGAATCGAACTCGGGTCGGCCATGTTGGCCTCTTGTAAGGCGAACGCCCTACCCGCTGTGCTAAACTGGTGGCAAGTCATTTGAGTTTTCCAGTATAAATATTTTAAAATTTCTGAATGTACTAGTCTTTCTGCATGATTCTATAGCAAATTACTTAATCATTGCAACATGTGTTCTATTTACATTTTATATAAATGGATTTGAATAAGTAAAGGTAAAGGTAATGGCCCTCCCGTTGTTCATCGATTTGCTCGAGCGGGCCCAGTAACGTCTCCATTGGAGACTTTGTTGTTACTGTGTTTGGCATATCGAATACGTCATGGGGAGCTTGCCAGGCTCTGCCGTGCGGGGGGAGGAATCGAACTCTGGTCGGCCATGTTGGCTGCGTGCAAGGCAATCGCCCTACCGCTGTGCTATCGCTCCAGCCCTTTGTTGTTAAACTGTTGAATAAGTAATAAAGTATAATTTTTGAAAAAAGGTAAAGGCCCTCCCGTTGATCATCGATTTGCTCGAGTGGGCCCAATAACGTCTCCATTGGAGACTTTGTTGTTACTGTGTTTGGCATATCAAATACTCTCGGTAGCTTGCCAGGCTCTGCCATGCGGTGGGAGGAATCGAACTCGGGTTGGCCATGTTGGCTGCGTGCAAGGTAAATGCCCTACCGCTGTGCTATTGCTCCAGCCCTTTGTTGTTAAACTGTTGAATAAGTAATAAAGTATAATTTTTGAAAAGGAATTGAAATATTTTCCAAAGAATAGCACTTTAGCACTTTCTTCCCATTTTTCATTGATTTGCTCAAGTGGGCACATCTCCATTGCGAGACTTGTTATTACTGGTTTTGGCATAATATACAAGTAGAATTCTTAAATGTTTATTGTTATATAAATAAAACAATGAGTTTGGTTATCATGTGGATATGGTCGATGGTGCTGAATCCTTTGCGGAACCCTGCTTGCTCACATGGTTGTCCTTCATCTAGTGTTCTGCCAATCCTATTCAGGATGACTCGAGTGAACAACTTGTAGATGACAGACAATAGGCAGATCGGGCGATAGTTGCCAATGTCATGGATGTCTCCCTTCTTGAACAGTAGTACGGTCCTGCTGGTTTTCCATTGAGATGGAACCTTGCATTCAGACAGGTAGCGAGTGAAGAGCCGAGCCAGTGTATTGATGAGTACTGACGGCAGGTTCTTCAGGTGTTCAGGTCTGACCTTGTCTGGGCCGGGTGCTGTTTGCTTCTTTACTGACGAAATGGCGTGTCGGATTTCGGAAGGGAGAACGTTGGGAACGACATACCCATCCTGTGGAATTTGGTATGTCGGCAAGTGGACATGGCTATCGAAGAGATTTGAGTAGAAGTCATGGATAATCTTCTCCATTGCCGTTCTGGAGGATGTGATGGATCCATCAGGACGTCGGAGGGCAGTCATCTTGGTCTTATAGTTGGCGAAGGACAGGCGGGCGTTACGAATACTTTTCCCGGCTTCTGCCGCATCTACCAGTACTTCTGCTCTTCTCTCTTTGAGGTCTTCCTTGATCGCATCTCTGCACTGCTTTGCGAGCTCGGACGTTAGCTTGCGGTTGCCTGAGGCATGCGCCAAACCACGCTGGCGAATTAGCTCAAGAGTTTTCGAAGATAGGCGACTTTTTGTGGCTATCTCTCTCTTGGCGTTCCTCGCACATTCATGGAGGTGCTGAACCAGTCGATCGTATTCCTCGTCAATGTTGTCAACAATGGCATCTTCCCATGTTGCCGCAATAGTACCAAAGAGTTCCCAGTTGGTGGTCGTTCTGGGAGTTCTCTTTTTGAACTTTGCAGCCCTTTCTCCCCGCTCTGTGAAGTAGAATTTTGCACGAAGGAGACGGTGGTCCGATCCCGTTCGAAATTTTGGGACAACAGCGACATCAGTCAGGCAAAACCGTCGATTGAATATGATGTGGTCTATTTCATTGTGGAATCGTCCACCGGGAGACTCCCATGTCCATCGTTTAGATTCTGCCTTCTGGAACTGTGAGTTACCATGAATGGTCTTGGTCGACATGATGAACTCAGACAGTCTCTCACCCTGTTCGTTCCATTCTAGGCCATGGGTTCCGATGTGAAGTTCTTCAGCTGATCTTCTCGGTCCTATCTTGGCATTAAAATCACCCACAATGATCTTGTAGAAGGTGTGGTCTTCTTTATAGAATTTCTCTAGCTCCATGTAGAACTTCTCGATTTCTCTTTCATCATAATGAGATGTTGGTGCGTAGACAACGAAGATAGAAACTGCAGGCAGTGAGCCACATCTATTCAAATGTAAACGTCCAATTCGGGTTGTTAGGCATTCGAATGAATCAATGCTCTTGGCCAAGTTTGTGTTGATAAGGACACCTACGCCTCCAACACCTCTTTTATCGCATGTTCCGAGGAACAATTCTTCTCCAGTGTCGAAAACGGCATGGTGAGATTCGTGTCTTCTTGTCTCGGTCAGACCAATGATGTCGTACTTGATCATTCGCGCTTGTACCATCAGGTCCTCGATGGATGCATCTGATGCTAGCGTACGTGCATTGAAAGTACAGACGATCATTTTTGTCTTCCTTCGTTGTGGCAGCCTAGGTCGGCCTTGAGATTTTGTCGGCCTCTCCTTTCTCATCCTTCTCAGTGCTGCCATGTCGGTGAAGCCTTCAGGGTCAGGTGAATGAGACCAAGAGAGTTCAAGATGCCGCTCTGCTTAACGTTCATTGATTTAAAGAAGGCCTTTGATTCTGTTGAGACGGAAGCGGTCATTGAAGCCCTAGCCAATCAGGGCATACAAGCCCAATACATCAGGATCCTCCGTGAGCTGTATTGCGGATTCACTACCAGGATCTCACCATTCTACAAAGAAGTGATCGTTGATGTCAAGAGAGGGGTGCGGCAGGGTGATACCATTTCACCAAAACTCTTCAGTGCCACCCTCGAGAACATCATGCGACGACTGGAATGGGAAGGAATGGGAGTGAAGATAGATGGTCGGCAACTACACCACCTCCGCTTTGCTGATGACATTGTTTTAATAACACCAAACATCAGCCAAGCGGCACAAATGCTGGCCGACTTTGACCGTGAGTGTGGAAAGGTAGGACTACAGCTGAATCTTACGAAGACAATGTTTATGAGAGATAGCCTTGTTCCTGACGCCCCATTCGCTCTCAATGGAACGACCATCTCCGAATGCAACAGCTATGTGTACCTAGGTCGAGAGGTCAACATGACAAATGACCTGGCACCCGAGCTGCGCAGGAGGAAGAGAGCGGCTTGGAACGCCTTCAAGAACGTCGAAGAAATAGCTAAGAGGACGAAGAACCTCCGGCTCCGGGCACATCTCTTTGATTCCACTGTTCTTCCTGCATTAACATATGCCTCAGAGACCTGGGCCCTACGCAAACAAGATGAGAACGCCATTCAGGTCTCCCAAAGAAGAATAGAAAGAGCTATACTTGGAATATCACGTTTCACTCAAATGAGAGAACGAATCCGGAGTTCTGACATCCGTCGACGATCAAGGATCAGGGACGCTGTCTCATTTGCCAAGGTGTCGAAAATCAGATGGGCTGGTCACGTAATGAGATTTAAAGACGACCGTTGGACTAGAGCTGTTACTGATTGGATTCCACGGGATGTCAAGAGACCGCGTGGCCGCCCACCTACCAGATGGTCAGACTTCTTTGTCAAGGTCATGAACGATCGGTTTGAGGCCCTCCATGTTCCCGGAGCGAAGAGATGCCATTGGGCTACACTAGCACGCGACAGGGACAAATGGAGACGTTACTGGCGCCCGCTCGAGCAAATCGACGACTAACGGGAAGTTAAGTGATTAAGTGAAATAAAACAAATTGACATCATTTTAAAACAAAATCTTTGTTTTCTTTAATAGTGTAAAGCCATTGATGGATGCAGTAATTTCTCATATCAATGCCATAAGTTCAACACTACTGAAACTACCCAAGCTAAAATAAACATTTAGAGTAATTAATAAAAATATACTTACGTTTTCTTTGTAAAGGTGTGGCAGCTAAGTAGCGATAGGTAACATTTATAGCTCCTGAGAAATTGGACAAATCTTTAAAAGTATGCACATAGCGTTCTGAATTCAATTGATGAGTGGATGTTTCTCTTATAAGTTGTTTGTCTCCCTCCTAAATACGAAGAAGGAGGAGGTTAAAATAAATAAATAGGAGTTTGTGGATTGAAAAAGATCTACTTACATAATAACATGTATTTGATATGTAATTTTACTTGCATAATAGCATGTATTTGATACATAATTTGAATATTGTCTATTTATTACAGTTATTGGCACCATAATCTATAGATCATCATTTTTTACTTGAGTTGCTGCATTTATTCCTGCACCAAGGTCTACTTTATTCTCTATTCTCGCTTAGAAGTGCTTGCCAATAGAATGCATTAATAATGACATTGATAATGGTATTCTCTGGAGGAAAAGAACACAAAAACTCTTAAACACTCCTGCTGTCATCAAGTTATAATTAAGTTCATTACAATAATTAAACTTAGAAATTGACAACTTATTTTATTCTTTCTTGTAAAAGTTGTGCATGCTAAAAATCATGCACATCTGAGTCTTTTTAAGCCATTTGCTCTTCATCAAGTGTTGCTAAAGTGTCATGAAATGAAAGACCACACATTCACATAGATGACCAAGATTAAAAGATGATTAGGAAGATTAGAGGGATTACTAGAGATTTTAAGATGTTTGCAAAGTCATGTAAATGGTCACTATAACTGAATACTATTGTATACAGACTGAAAGTTCCTCGTGAACTGTGTTTCTTTCAGGCTTAGCTGAGATACTTCAACAAAGATACATTTGACCAAGTCTAGAAAATATGTCCAGGTACTGCACTAGTTTGTCCTGTGATAGGTTTGCTTCAGTTGCATCTCTCAAGCTCTCTCTCTCTCTCTCTCTCTCTCTCTTTCTCTTTCTCTCTCTCTGTCTCTCTGATGTTCTACTGAAGGTGAAGATTATTTTATGTTTTAGATCTTTCTTTAAATCTATTTGCTACTAGAATTATATCAATCTTTTGGAAATATTTTATTTAAGAAAACATTCTTAGCCATTTTAAATGTTTCCCTCTATATCTCTTTTTTTTTTTTTCTGATAAACCTCATTTGTAATCCAAAGACCTGAGATATCTCCCTCTCCTTTCTATGTGCAGCCACTGGAGCTGCTGCCAGGGATACTCAGAACTGTGGACACTGCACCTCAACTGAATCAATCACAGTGAACTTCCTGTAGATTCCAGCTAATCAGAGCTGTGAGGTTCACCTGCCATAAATGGGATACTGGGGAAGATTATGATTTTTGCAGGATGATTCTAAAGAAAGAGTTCGACCCATAGGAATACTATAAGGACTAGGGCACTTTTCTTTCCTGCAAATTGACAGGCACTCAATCCCTGATATGACATACTGTCCTCCAATTTCTGCCAAAATTGATGATCCCTGAATGCAGAGCAAGTAATAAGCCCTGAGCACAGTTGACTGAGATTCAAGTTCTGAGATAAAATAAATAAATAAAATTACTAACTTAAATAAGAAATAAAATTGTGAGGACAAGTCTGCAGACAAAAGTTGTCTGCTCTTGCTTAGTGAACTGCTGTGTCAGGATCTCTTAGGGGCAGATTTTTTGCTCTAGAAGTTTCCTAGGTGACTAACTTGCTTTGCTTGGTTCTGTCTATCTGGAGTTTAAAAAGTGAAAATTCGATGACTTGGAACACTTATTCACAGGTGAACATTGAATTTGTTTAAGGAAACTGTTCCTTCAGGGGAAGGTACTGTTGGATAATAATTACCATATTATCTGCTGTTGTTTTATGGAAAGGAATATGGAGATCTATTCAAAGAAATAAGGGTATAACTACCAAACAACCCAGTTGGGTATACCACTTACTGTCATCTATCTCCAAAGCACAGAAATTAATATATATGTGCACTATCTTCATTGCTACATTTAGTACAATAACCAAGATATGGAAACAACCCAAATGCCCAACTACAGATGAATGTATCAAAAAATTATAGTATATATCCAAAAAAAAATTGCTATCAGCTCTAGGAAAGAACAAAATCATGCAAATCACAACAGCATGGATAGAACTGGAGGACATCCTTCCTGCTGAGTGAAGTCAGAAAGGTAAAGGAATAGATACAGAATGGTCTGTCTCATATGTAAAGTTTAAAGACACACAGAAAGGTGACCACAAAGGACCAAAAGCAACATTGTAAAATAATTGATCTGTCAACTGAATTATTGGTGGTGGGGTTGGTGTTTGAGAGGGAGGGACATTGAAGTGTTTGGAAGAGATATAGAGAGAGGTACACTGGTGATGGGTATGACCTTTGAATTATGTACATGAGAAATCAGTATTAACAGTATTGTAAACAGAACCACAATCAAGTTAAAAAAAAAAACAAAAATAAAGACTACAGAGAAAATGAAAGCATTGAATATATTGGTCTTCAAAAGCTAAAGAGAAAATTCTACTTGAGTGATGCCTTACATATATGAGTCCTTGGTACCAACCCTGTCCCCTGAGCACTGCCAGGAGTAACCTTGAGCACAGATTTTAGAGTAGCCCTTGAAAATTACTATAGTTTCCCCCAAATAATAAAAATAATAATTTGATCTTCATATATATACCTTACTGGAAAAATTAAACTTTAATTAAATACCTGTTCTAAAAATATAAAGTTATTCAAATTTAAATATTACCTCAATTCAAACATTATTACTTTGTATCAAATTCAGAGATCAAGGGGAAAAGAGGACAACATAAATCTGTTAGTCAGGTTGAAGTCGTCTTTGAATAAAATTGAGAAAACAAAATATTACCAAGAAGCTTCCTGAATCTGTTAAAAAAATTATGATGCAGACCTAATATATTTTCTGTATACTCAATTATGCTAATAAAGCTATATTTGGTTTTTAATACCATTCTTTACAGTTCACATTATGATAGTAATTTGGACAAAAGAACATTAGACATTTACAGGGTTTTTAATGCAATTGCCATCCATCTTCTGATTTTCTGAACATATAAAATTAAACATTGCATAATAAACTTCTGAAAATATATCAATTGAATATCTATTTAGTTCTTATTATTTTAAATATAATCATCTTTATATTTCTGAAAACTATAGCCTCATTAAAGTATTAAAATAAACAATTTAAGACTCTGCAAAAATAATTGAGGTGCCAGTATAGCATCAGGTACTTTTACAATATAATAGTGATAGCATCCCATAACCAATAGGGCCTAGAAGAAATATTAAAGAAAAAAATTAAAGAAATATTAGCAATAATTCTATCATTAGTCCTTATATGATTTGCAATCTAATTGAAGTGGAGGATATTGAATATCATTTTCATTCATTCTGATTGAAGGACATAACCAAATATAAAATAATAAAACTTGTATGAAAACAGTTTATTAAATTCCCTAGAACACAGATCTTAACACTTTTCAGCATAAATAAGTAATGTAGCTTCCACGTGAGTTAGTTTTGTTGGCTGCTTTCCAGAGTTATCTGCCTGAACAGTCAAACTCTCCCTGGATACCTTCTTCCTGTAGCTACAAGGCCATAGTGTATTTCTCAGTAATAGGACAAGGCTTTATGACAATCGTTTTCTGTATAGGAATGCAATTGAACGGACTAGCTACAGACTAAACGTATACCCTAGTGGCTACTTTGAAGATTTTCACAATGGAGAGGCTAAGTTGATTCGGCATGCAGTACCTCTTCTATTTAGTTTGTCTTGTGAAAGTACTCGTCTCTTGTTTTAAACTCAACTTTGATTCTCACTGAAAGGTGCAGCTGCCCCTAAAATTTAAGCAATAAATTAAATTGTCATATGTGCAGGATTTTATGTCACGATTTATTTCCTAGCAAAAAGAGTGAAATAGAATGTACTAAGTAACTACAGGAACCTTATTATAGTGTTTGTTTGATTTCTTTGAATTATAAATGTTATTTGGCTGAAATAAGAAAGACTAGAGATAAACATTCTAATTTCTGATCTTAGAAAATTGAATGCATGTGACATTTTGAGAAAGAAATTAGAGTAATCCAAAATACTAAATAAATTAATAAATAAGTCACTATAAGACAAGTAAGTGGTGAACAGAAGAGGGAATAGATTTATCTGGGAAAAAAGTGCCAATTGTAGGGTGAAGGATAGAATTGAACTTTGGGTGAATCAGTGTGTGTGTGTGTATGTGTGCGTGTGTGTGTGGTTGTGTGTGTGTGTGTTGAGTGGCACACCCAGCATTACCCAGGGTTTACTCCTGGCTTGCACTCAAGAATCCTTCCTGGTGGTGGGGAATGGAGTACCATGTGGTATGCCAGGTATTGAATTTAGATTGAACCTGCAAGCAGGACATGTACCCTATCTGCTGTACACTGTTCTGGCCTAGAACTTGCTGTGAACTTGATGCAGTATACTTACACACTAACTTCTACTGAAAAATTACATAAATTTAACAACACAGTGTTAGAAGAGTGAAATATGTTGATAAATATTTTATATAGTTCATGCTAGAAATGTTTCATTTGACCTGGTGAATTTGAATATCCAAGTGGAAACTGAATTATAATTTGTTTCCTGAGAAGGTGAGAAAGAACTGACCCAAAGAGAATTAATAAAAACCTTTATGAGAGACACACAATTAAGTTAATAAAAGGTAAAATATAAAAGTAGAAAACAAATGAGATAATCTTACGTAAAGTGAAATAGATAGGTGAAACAATCAAATTGGAAGAGCACTGAAAATAAATTGCATTATAACCTAGTAGGGGGCCAGTTTTCCTTGAACAGTAAATATTTTAATTTTTTTTGCTGTTGTTTTGTTTAGCCCAGTTGATGTTATTCAGGTCTTACTCCTTGCTCTGCACTCAGGCCTCACACCTGGCAGGCTCAGGGGACTATATAGGATGATCTCACCCAAGGCAAATGCTCTTCCCACTGTACTATTGCTCTATCCCCATGAATATTAAACATTGAAAAAGAAAAATTTTGAACATAATTTTACAGTGGAGGTTTAAATAATGTTTAAAATATCTGTATAGATTAAGTCCGAGAACAAGATTTACCTAACTGAAATTCAATTTAGGTAGGAAATATCTACTAGTGAAAATCAAACAAAAATTATTGTCATTAAATATACAGTATAAGGGTATATCATTTTAATTGTATGTAAAATTATTTTAATGATTTTTCCACATTTATTTTACTGTTTTTTTAAACTAAAAGATATCTTCCCAATCTTGGTTCCACATTGACCAAACATATTTATAATATAGCTGGAGAAAATCTCACTCCTGAGAAAGTACTCTTTAGAAGTTATTTCATTAAATCATAACACTTACATTAGTTAGCTAAGAGGTTTCTCTAGTCATGTGTAAAACTTGACAAAATTGGGGAATAACATTTGATCATCTAAAGAGGAGACATTCTATTATTTTACATTTTATAGTAAGATTCTATTCCCAAAATATCTAAGGGCTGGAGAGATAGTACAGCATGTAGGTTGCTTGCTATATGCATGTATCTTGCCCAGCCTGCATCTAACCTGGGTTTATCCCAGGAACTCCATTTGGTCCACCACGCCCTGTCATGAATGATCCCTGAATGCAGAGCTAGGGTCACTGGTGTGACCAAAAATCAGCCAAGCAAATAAACATGCAAACAAAAATTATATATTGGAATGCTTATTCTATAAAGTGGCCTGTTGTTTTTTAAACAAGAATCAGTGAAATTGTACTCACACATATCTCATGAATGTAGCATTTCACTATGTTCAAATTATAAGATAAATTTTCTTACCAGGACACACAGAGCAAACAAGCAAATTCTTAAACATAATCATTGATGAGTGTTCAAGTAAATTTACAATCTTTTATTCAACCAAGGTCTGCAGAGCATAACACTAATCTGAAAAGTACCTTTTTAAAAATTCAAAAATGCACATGATAGGTAAGTTCTTGCGTTTGCTATGTTTTCCTACAACGCAACTATTCAGAGTCCAAGAACTGGAGCTAGAAATTACTTATTGTGATATATGGATGGAAAAATGAGGGTATATAAGATTAAGACTTAATTTATGATTAAAGACCTAAGCAGTGTCAAGATCTAGGAATCTGGCAGAATTTCACAAAACAATATAAAAAAAAGTACTAAAATGTAAAAAATCTTTGAGGGCAGCCAGGGGATGGCCCTGAAGGCTCTTCTCCTAGATGCCCAGGTTCTGGGGGACCCGGATTGCTCTCCCAGCCAGGGCAGTCTGGGCCATGGGGCAGATGGTGGAGGAAGAGAGGGCCAAGCAGGTTGATTGATCAGATGCCATTTATTCCATTCTCCCCACACGCCTACCCCAGTCTCTCTGAGCCTCCCATTCTAGTCTCCACACTGCTCCTCATTCCCGTCTCCTCCTGTCTCTCCCGCTCATCTCTCCGCACTCCATCTCGCAACCTGGGCTCTCTCTCTCCATGTGCTTGCTCCTGTATACTTCTTCTACATTCTCTCTCTGTCCCCCTTGCTAGCCTCTCCACAGTCCAGTCTTGCCAACTCTCTCCTCTCTCCAGCTCTCTTCCTCTCCAACTTCCTTATCTCTCCAAGCTGACACTGCCTCCAGTCAGGTAGCAAAATCAACATAAGAAAGCTCTTCCTGAGGGCCCACCAGTTCAAAGGGAACACCACCTAGGATATTCCAAAGCCCTTCCTGACTGCCCAAGGGCAAAATACCCCTCAAGGTGTTTTTCTCTTTTCCCTAGTCCAATAACTTGATCAACATCTCAATACTAGTATTTTTGTATGGACACAGTAAGAGATAACATGGAGGCATGTAGGGCAGCTCTCCTGGGAACATCTTGCCACAGACTCAGACTACAGCACTCAGTCCAGATTATCATTCCTAACCCTAGCAGGGTCTGAATCTAGTTATTGTTTTTTTGGATCATGACAACATTTTCCAGTGACCAGGCTCTTATAGTTAAGCATTATGGCGCTTTGGCCAGGCCCATCTCGATGCCAGGGTAGCACATAGTTTACCTCTTGCCCTGGTTCCATCCAGTCCCTTGTCGGAACCCTGCTTTTGGGGGCACTAGGGAGTAAGGGCAACTGAGGCTTAGGTGAGAGAACAGATGCCCAGGAGGAAAATATCACTGAGAGTTACATTACAAAAGCATAGCCTATGCTGTCTTCTTGTATCCATACAAAAAGAACATTGCTCTGAATAAACTATTGAAAGGACTGAGGGAGAAGAGAACAACAATATTTACAAGTCAACATAGCACAAAAGAAAGAAGTTACAAATAAAAACAGAGGAATGGGAGCACTGTGATGGGAACAACCCAATAAACCTAAACTACCTGAGGCTATGCAGGAAGGACAGAATAGTGTTATCCTATACTAAAGAAAGCAAGATGCATTCAAGAAGACTCCATAAGTGGCTCTGTACCAAATATGAGCTCAGGATCCAGAGAAATATCTGAAGTATAGTAACTAGTTAGTAAATTGTGCTAATTTATTAGGTAAAGGTAAAGGCAAAGGCCCTCCCATTGATCGTCGATTTGCTCGAGCGGGCCTAGTAACGTCTCCCTTGTTGTTACTGTGTCTGGCATATCGAATACTCTCGGTAGCTTGCCGGGCTCTCCGAGAGGGGCGGAGGAATTGAACTCGGGTCGGCCATGTTGGCCGCTTGTAAGGCCAACGCCCTACCTGCTGTGCTATCGCTCCAGCTCATTTATTAGTCAAACATTTCTTTGAAAAATGTCTGTGAAGTAATTTTTTTAATTATTTTGCTAAAATAATAATTAAAAATATCTTTCAGAATATGCACCATTATGGAAATAGCTATGCTAACCACTATACCACCAACGCGGCAGCTGGAGAAATAGCACAGCAGTAGGGTGTTTGCCTTGCACGCAGCCAACATGGCCGACCTGAGTTCAATTCCTCCGCCCCTCTCGAAGAGCCAGCAAGCTACCGAGAGTATCTTGCCCACACGGCAGAGCCTGGCAAGCTCCCCGTGACGTATTCGATATGCCAGACACAGTAACAACAAAGTCTCCAGTGGAGACGTTACTGGACCCACTCGAGCAAATCGATGAACAACGGGAGGGCCTTTACTTTTACTTACTTTTGATGGAAATTGCATTTTAATTTCTGTGTTCAACTGCTTAAACTTTAAAAACAAGCAAACAGACACAGTTACATAAATATTAGGCAATTTCCAATGTTTTATTTACAATTTAAGTAGGGAAAAATGAATAAGTGATAGAATCAATTTTATTCTAAACAGGCATGTAATTATGTGATAATTATAAGAAGATGAATAAAAGAAATAGATATATTTCTCATAAAAATTAGCCAAACTAAGTCATTTTGTATATATTTTATAATCATTTAAATTTAAATATTTGCTAGTCTCATTATATTATAAAATTTACTGAACTTCTCTAATTAATAACTATAATTTTTGAGGTTCTATATTATTTTCCAGTAAATATAAATATATAACAGTGGTCACTTAAGCTATTCAAAAATTCCAATAGGGTATTATTCATTATAATAAAATCCTTTCCACAATGAAACATCAGTTTGTATTCTTAAACAAAGAATTTTGAAAATTTTGACAATTAACAAAAAATAGAGATTGTAACATTTGAAGCAGATTTTATTTATTCTGATAATATGAATTAAATGGTTTCGCATAATATTAATTCTGCAGAGCAATGGTTAGCTAACTTAATTCTAATCATAAGTACCTATTTAACCAAAACATATTATTAAAGAAAACATTGCAGCATTAATTCTAATATTTTCAATGTGTAAACATTAAACATATAAAAGTTAAAAATTCCCAAGTTATAATTTTGCTCAAACTAAAGATGTTACAATAAAGATTAAAATTAGGTCACAATTAGGCTAAATCTAGTTTTATTTAGTCCTGATTTTAAACAAAAAGTCAATCAACTTCATTAACTTACCAGCACATAGCTATCTTCAATGTATAAGTTCATAAATAGAAGAAAAATGACAAGAACTCCTAAGAATGACACTGTTGAACGTTTTCGCAGGCATCTCATTTTATCCAGTATTTCAAAAAAATGTTTCACTTGATAAAAGTTAAACATTCTCTCCTGTGGAAAAGATGTAAAGAATTACTATATATAATTTGTTTTTCTGCAGGTACTCCATCATTTTTAAAAGCCAGATGTTTATAAGACCATCAACTGTTTGAACTAAAACTTGCTTCCAAATTTACACAAAATGTTTGCAACATATTTATATATTAATATAAAACCAGTGAGTGGTGCATTTTTGTGGACTAAACTGAATAAAAGCAAGTCTAAGATAACTCCCAAGAAATAAATATTGGTAACAATGCTGTAAGATGAAAGATAAAGTAAAGTAAAGTAAAGTAAAGGCCCTCCCATTTGATGTAGGCAGGTAGATAGGGAAAGGCTCTCTGCAATGAAACAAAGTCTCATAGAAGAAGAATTCTAGGACCGACCCACCCTGTGGAGACAGAGAATAAGGACTTGATAAGACCATCCCCAGACCCTGAAGATATGGGCCTCCTCCCCATGAAATTCCTCCTTTCCGAAAACCCCCTTTCAATCCGGTTAACTCCAGTGACCCAGCCCCAAGGAGATTCCAGGACATTCCAAGTCAGAAGATTCTCAAACCCCCTTTCAATCTGGTTAACTCCAGCGACCCAGCCCCAAGGAGATTCCAGAATATTCCGAGTCAGAAGGATCTATAAGAACCAGCTTGAGAGCCCACTTGGTGCTCTCTCCACCCTGGGAGAAGCCCGCGTTCCCTCTGGGCACGTTACCCTCTCTCTCCCTTCCCCCCCCCCCCCCCCCCCCCCCCCCCGCTTATCTGCTTATCCCTTTCTCTCCCTCTCCAAAAGCCTCCAAATAAAACCTGTTACTTCACTGCTTGTCTACTCCTGAAATTCTTTTCTGCGAGCGAGACAAGAACCCCAGGAACCCCGGGTAAGGCTTGGGACTGGTCTCTCCTTTCCTGCAAAGAGCAAATTCTTGCCCCAGCTTGAGTCCGTGGCTCCCCGAGCAATCGGGTGGCAGGGATTAATTCCCGTGCTGAGAAGATCAAGTGGACTTCAAGTGTGGCTTGACAGCCACCTTGTGGGGCTGGCGGGGCTTAGGTCCGTGCCAAGCAGAGGCTCACTGCAGACTTTACGGGTCCTAGCCTACCCAGGGTCCCGGGTGGCAGAGGCAGGTGGGGAGAAAGTTACCGTCTTTCTCCTCCCCACTTCACATAAGTCACCCGTGGGGCCCACCGACATCACGTTGATCATTCATTTGCTCGAGCGGGCCCAGTAACGTCTCCATTGGAGACTTTGTTGTTACTGTGTCTGGCATATCGAATACGTCACGGGGAGCTTGCCAGGCTCTGCCGTGCAGGCGAGATACTCTCGGTAGCTTGCCGGGCTCTCCGAGAGGGGCAGAGGAATCGAACTCGGGTCGGCCATGTTGGCTGCGTGCAAGGCAAATGCCCTACCACTGTGCTATCGCTCGAAGATATCGGAGGAGAAAGAATAAAAGTGGATGCAAATGCTTAAAAGGCAATTCTCACCGCCCCCTTTTGTATTGTAATGAAAATGGAGGTAAAGTAGAAGTATGGACTGTTATTGATCTTGCAGAATAGATGTGCTGGGAGGATATGTTCCTTGCTTTGCACTCACTCCTGAACAGGGATCTGGAAACCATATGGGTGCCAGGGATAGAACCCAGGTCAGCTGTAGTCAAGGCGATCACCTTGCCTACTGTACTATCTCTCTGGCACCCAAACTGCAGTATTAAGAAGCTAAGTATGACAAAACTCAGTGATAGGATATTTTGTATGTGATACTGGACACTATAGTTGATACTTGACACCCTGCATTTTGGGTGGGGGTTGGGCGGAAGAAAAAGGAAAAGAAAATTAGCAAAAGAATAGATGTGCTGGAAGTGCTACTGTAAAACCTACATAGAAAAATCAAAAGTGACTGAGGAAGTCAAAATTTTGTTGATAACTCCACATGTAAATTTGATAACTTCTGAGATTTTATTGCACTATTCATTAATTTTTACAGCAATTATTATTAAATCAAATTATATCTTGGATGTCAATATCTGAAATGGAATATTTACATTGTTTTATACTATATATTAACTGTCACTGTCACTGTCTCTGTCCTCCTGTTGTTCATCTATTTGCTCAAGCGGGCCCAGTAACATTGTGAGACTTGTTACTGTGTTTAGCATATCAAATACATCATGGGTAGCTTGCCAGGCTTTGCCATGTAGGCAAGATACTCTCCGTAGCTTGTAGGGCTCTATGAGAGGGGCGGGGTGGAGGAATTGGCCATGTGCAAGGCAAAGGCCCTACCCACTGTGCTATTAGAAGCAGTTATTCAAGATAATTTATAAATAGTAAAAATTTAACTCAGAGTCAGATCAGTGGAGATCTTACTTTTTTCTTTATTACATTCTTCTACATTTTGTGACACCCTTAAATCACAGAAAAAGATAACTGTCTTTTAAAATGGTAACTTTTGAAAAATATGGTCATATACACATAAGAAAGGATACAAAATACTAGTTAAATGACATTTTACTTAAATCAAGGCAGAAGTTGTGCCACATTGAGTTATATATTTGATCTCCCTGTATCTAGCTTTAGGAAAAAGAACAAGTGTGTCAAATGAGTTTAAAAAGACAATAATCTGCATGTCAAACACTGAAATGTGAAGATATCAGCTACTCAAAAGTCTTGAAATAAAGCAAAAAATATTGATAAATGTTTGTAAATTATAGGAAAGGATAGCAGGAATAGAGAAAAACCTAACAAACAAGAAAGAAATAATAATCCATAATAAATTTTTAAAGAATTTGTTCATTTCCTTTGACCATACTTTTCTCCATTTTTAGATTCTTGATTTAATTGCACTTTATGAATGTCTAAATATATATGTTATATGAACTCAAATTGAATACAAGCATATCTAGACACATTTTAAATTATATATATGTACTAGTATGTGTATACTGAATGTACGTGCTTTACCAAGTATTTCTTGTGTTTTATTCTATATTTGCTTTTATTTTCTGTTCATTCTTTGGTGCCACATTTAGCTGTGCTCAATAGTTACTCCTGACTCTGCATTCCATCACTTTTGGCAGGCTCAGGGAACCATATTAGGAGACAGGAATGGAATATGTGTCAGCCAAATGCAGGCCAAGTACATTGCACAATCTGGCTCCTTGTCTTTATTCCTTTTGATGTCTTATATAGTATAGTTTTTAACAATAAATTCTCTATATATGTATTTTGCATATTAAAATTGTTTCTATCTTGACTTTATCTGGGTACTAACCTCTACGTCCCTATTTAATCCATACTTTTAACAACCTGAATTTATCATTGTATACTTAAAATATTTCCTTTTGTCTCTCAAAATGGGCTAGAGAGGTAGCACAGCTAGTAGGGTGTTTGCCTTGTACACAGCCGACCCAGGTTCAATTCCTCCGCTGCTTTTGGAGAACCCGGCAAGCTACCGAGAGTATCCTGCCCAAACGGTAAAATCTGGTAAACTAGCCGAGAAATATTCTATATGACAAAAACAGTAACACCAAGTCTCACAATGGAGACGTTACTGGTGCCCACTGAGCGATTCAAGGAAAAATGGGAGGACAGTGCTACAGTGCTACAGTGTTCTCAAAAAGTACTCAAGGTGCCCTGGACCACTCTCAGCTATAACTGACCACCCGAGTCAGGATATTAAATGGCAGGGCATGAAGTTGTTAAACTGGTAAGACCATTACCATCTGTGGACACCTTGTAGGTGCTCTGGGATCTCCAGAACTGGGTCCTCCAGAACTGGATGACTTTATGTAGGGCATACCATATGCTTGAGATTTTGATTTCATATACAAATAATTTTTCTCAAGACGAATATCAACAAGTTTCTTCTCTTGACTTTGTTTCAAGCGTTTAGTGTATCTAGTTTAATGTATAAATTTTGTGTTTATTTAAAATTTATTTTGGTATAAGATATTTCATGAGTATAATTTTATTTTTCTTCACATATTCAGCATTCCTTATAACATTTAATGATGAGCTTCTACTTTATTATTATTATAGTTCTGATCAAATATTAATTTCCAAAATTAAAAATGGAATTATGTTAGCATATGATCAAGGGTTCTTCTGGTTATAGAACCAAATTTAATTAAACAGAGTATTGTAAATATGTGCACAACTGTAGTCATCACAGCATTGTTCAAAATATCCAATACATGGAAACAATATTAGTGGCAATGAGTGGATGGATGAATGAATTTAGAATACTAATAAATGTTTTATCAAAAGAAAAAAGAAAATACTGATTTTTGTTACATGGAAAGACATTGGGGGCTTTATCTTAAGTGAGATATGTTAGGCAGAAAATAAAAAGACTGAATGAATGATATTATTCTGATTGGAATATGTAAAAGTTCATATAGAAACAGATAAAATGGTGGCTATCAAGTACTTGGAAATAAAAATTAGAAGTAATAGTGTTTAATGCTACAAATTTGCAATTAGGAGACAAGTTCTGGAGGTCTAAAGAATTATACTAGAGGGCTGCAAAGTTTAAGAAGAGAACTCCCAGAACAACCACCAACGGGGAGCTCTTTGGCACCATTAGAGCAACATGGGAAGATGCTGTCATTGACAACATTGACGAGGAATATAATCGACTGATTCAGCACCTCCATGATTGTGTGAGGAATTTTGAGAGAGAGAAAGCCACAAAAAGAAGTCTGTCTTTGAAAACTCCCGAGCTCATTTGTCATCGTGGCTGTGCACAAGCCTCGTGAAACCACAAGCGAATGTCCGAGCTCCCAAAGCAGTGCAGAGAAGTGTTAAAAGAAGACCTTAAAGAGAGAGGAGCAACAGTGCTGGCAGATGTGGCAGAAGCTGGGAAAAGCATTCACAACGCCTGCCTGTCCTTTGCCAACTACAAGACCAAGATGACTGCCATCCGACGTCCTGATGGATCTATCACATCTTCCAGAGGGGCAATGGAGAACATTATCCATGACTTCACTCGGATCACTTTGATACCATGTCCACCTGCCCACATACC